CAAAACTAAACAAATAAAAGGGCAAATATGGACTTGGAATAAAGAGAACAGAAAATACTTGGTGCTGCAGAAAATTTGATCCCGTGTATGCCACAATGATCATCATCGATGAATGTTGCCATGCTACTGAGATCAGATTGAGAGAAATCGTCTAACCAAAGTAATTGCCAGACCAAGAGTTGTGCTGAGCTAAATCATACCAAATAATATGTTTTTCGTTTTCTGAAACTTAAGATTTTTTTCTCATAAAGTTTGGTTCAAATGGACTTTTGAACACTGTTCAAAATGTTCTGAGAATTTATTAACCTCTATTTGACAAGGTGAGATCTTCTAATTCAATTACATCGTATTCCCATCAATTCAATGCAATCAAACTCCCCAGTTTGTGATCTCCTCAAACTTGCAGTCTGTCATCATTATGAAACTTGCAAGTAGAGCTCAGCTATTTGACTATAACTTGAGCTGTAGTGGCCCTGGACAATCAGCTTCGTCTTTGTATTTCTATAGTACATGTTTTGCAAAACTAATTATTCCATAAGTGGTATATTCACTCAATGGGACTCTACACAATATGAATCAACATGAAAATGACAAGTTAAAAACATATTGGCAAAATACAGTACAATCCATTCTAAGACATCAGATGCAGTTAACGGTTTTCTTGGCTATATTGCCATTTTGACATTTTGACGTTAAAGGGGAACTGTCCCCCTATTTTTATATTTGGGGGTTAGAAAGAATCAGCATTGATGAGTGCATTTCAAACCACAATAAAAATAAAATGTGCGCACTAACTTGTAAAACCTTCAATGTACATAATAAAATACACAAAATTTCCAGGTATTACCAAGTGCCATATTTTACAATTCACAAAAAGGGCAACAAAACTTCCAGTTTTGTGGCCCTGTTACATTCTAAGCAAGCAGGTTTGTGAATACATCTCTTTTAATCAATTCAGTTAAAATATTGCCCTTGACTTCGAGACAGTTTTGCCGATAAATGAAACTTGCTTGTTAACTCTGTAAGCAGATTTTCTGATGTGAAATATCTGCTGCACAACCTGTACTTTTTCGCCCGTACTTCACATTAATTTAGTTACTGTATTACATTGACTAGTGAGCAGGAAGGACAGCATTCGTGGGAACTCTTACTGTCGCCTGTGGCTAGACCAGAGGTTTGCGACAACATGGCAACTTATAGTACTTACACAAAGTTCACAATTTTGTGCTTAATTAGAAATTTGTCAATCTTTTTTATACCATCAATTAATTTAATATAATAACCAGTAATTACCAGTCTGCAAAATTGGGACAGCAGTACCCCTTTAACACATCTAAACTAGATTCAGACATATATTTGTACAAACCCATCTACTAAAATACCAAATATTTCACATTTTCCCAATACTGCTTTAATACCGTAGCCCTCTGAAAACTTACATGCAAACTGTAGGCTTGCTTCCCTGCTAACAATGGTTCCCGATGGATTTGTTGCAATACACTGGTATATTCCTGTATCTTGGTTTTTGTCCAGTTTTTTAATTATTAGGCTGCCTTCAGACAAGCGATGTCGGTTGTCAATGCCGAGATCAATCAGTGTTCCATTTAGTGACCATCTGTAAGACACAAAGCAATCATTAACACATGACCTAACATATGTTCTGTTTATAATATATTTATCATTTGTGTTATAAAAAATAATGTTGGATGACTTTTTCAGGAGTAAAGACAGAACGGTAGGGGCTTACTTAAAATAAAATAGATCCTTCTTCTTACACACCAAGGTTATCAAATGAATGTACAATACAAAAATGAAAGCCTTAGACATTCTTACAACCTTGCCAACATTATCTATTATATACAGTATGTCCTGCTTTACGAAAAGTACCCAGAAAACAAATGAGGAACAATTGACTTGAGGGGGGAGATTGTTATGCTCCTTCATAACCATTATGGCTTACAGATTTTCTGAATATGTTGCCAATCTTGAACATTTGTTCACTCTGTAATTATGCAGACTTTGACGCTCAAGTCATCTCATCAAGTATGAATGTGATCATTTTTGAGTGGGTCTGTCTGTTCACTTGTTTGTTAAATGGCTTGGTATTTGTGCAGAGAGTTTTGTATTTGAACATTTTCTGTTTTTTATTTAATTCTGGGACAAAATTCTATTATTTACCAAATCAACTTAATTCGTTTCAGATATCATTAATATGTCATGTGCTATCATCTAACCTTTTGAAAAACTTGCTTATATATATTTTGTAGAATCCCTTTTCAGCTTTAAAATCTCCAAAAAGGAACAGCTTTAAGATTTACTGTATATACTGTACATACAGTAATATAAAAATATTTCCCTAACAGTTCTCATCTAAAGTCCTAGAAACAGTCATCTTTATTAGGAATGTAGTTTGATTGTTAAATAATAAAATACCTTTCTCATAGTCCAGACAAACATTCTCAAAATGTTTTATTCACATTATTTTCATATTCAATTCTTAAAACCTGGTAGATTTTATTTTCAAGAACATGTTGAAAGATAAAAGTATTTTCATAAGTTTCTTCTATAATTAATACATAAAAGTAGAAGGCTTGAGATAATAGAATGTGTCATAACTGGAAATTTTAATGAAATAAACTTGTAAACATATTTGTGTCTGTTGTTTCTGTATTTCCTTTTTGTATATAACAAGCCTGCAAGAGGTACAGACCTGTGCAAATGGTTCAATTTAAATATTTTCATTGTCATGCTTCTACTTTTATGTTTTATGTACACAGTCCAAATTGTTATTTTTTTATTGCCCAATTCCCCTTGCAAATCTAACACTACTTGCTATAAATAAATAGTTATTAGTCACTTGTTGGAAGTATTGAAACATTTAATTACATTGTTATTAAATAATATGTAAACTGTAAACTGAAATAATATGCTTTTGGATAGATAAATGTAGAAGCAAAGTGATTAAATGTTTTAAAGGAATAAGTATGTTGATACAGTATATTCAAAACTTCAGAAAAACAAAAGTGTCCAGCAACCACTTAGCCTATCATTAGTCAATGAATGTTCAAATATGTTTAAAAGTAAGAAAAACAGATTCAGTAGGCAAAGGACCTGGCTAGTCTACATACAGTATACAGTAGGTACTACAGATATTCCTATAGTGTGTTCAGCTTTTGCAGCTATTGGTGGCCATCGTATCAGCCATGACTCCAGAAACATTCCACTAGCTTCTTTCCACAGCTGGACCGAAGTTACAAGATAAAACTAAAGCTTTCTTTAAACGACTGAAGCTGATTTTACTATAAAGCACAGGAATGCAAATGGACGATGGCAAAAATGAATGAAACCTACTGAATGATGAAGAAACCACAAACTTAACTTAATTTAACTCACTAAACTTACTACTTTATTGTGTTGATGGCATCTAAATACAACAACCTTTTCATCTTAAAATATTTTAGGTATTTAATGTTGCCCATAAGATTCCCTTATTACTATTGCACTAGTTCTAAAAAAATGTAAATTAGTACATTTTTGCAAACAGTGTTTTTATTGCTCTGAAATTGTGTTATGTTGAAGCGTAAAAAAATCCCCATCCCCATTCACAAAACCATTTTATTTCCTCCTTTGAAAAATAAATACACATCAAATAAAAATAAGAAATCGGGTCTCATAATGAGTTAGGAACACAGTAGCATGTCTATATTGTCCATATTTTTCCTATCTTCAACATCTTTTACCTTCAACATTTTGTGCTACATCACAAAAGTTGACACGTTCTAATAAAAACACTTATTGAAGTAGATGAGTGCCTAGCGCATCTTATTATTTTCACCAATTTTAACTGGACAGCACCTCGACAATCTGGGGAATATATTCTTCTTTGCTCCATTTGCCATCTCAACAGGTTGGACACCAGCCCTGAAGAATGCTTTCATATTTCATTTATCCTCTCTATTAACTCTAACTAAAATAAAATCTAAAATTATGAATCTGCAAACTGAATGTAAATTTTCAAAGGCTATCAAGTACATGTTATTGCTGTTCCATGTTAACAATTCAAAACTTGTGATCACATAACCAAAGGTTATTTTTTCTGTACATTTTCTGGATGTATTTTTAGAACTTCTCTTATAAAAATATTGGCATACAGTACTGCAGCAAGTATACTGTATTTGTTTCAAATTCCTGTAGTCAACCCTAATGAGAGACTTAAATACAGTAAATCAATTTTTTTAATTTAAGTGATTAATGTATTTCACTATTTGTTTGCTAGTTAAGATGATTAAAAATAATGCACAGGTTAATTAGCAATAAATACTACACATGCTCATTTATACTGAATGAAACTTTCATCCATCCATTTTCCACCTGCTTTATCTAATACAGGGTCGTGCAGGGGTCAGAGCGAAGGGGGGACACCCAGGACAGCGTGCCAGTTCATTGTAAGAGAAATACACATTCACTCACATCAGGGCCAATTTTCCCAGAAGCCAATTAACCTACTGCACCAGATGTATCGGACTGCAGGAGGAAACGTGAGCACCTGGAGGAAACCCAAGCACACACCGAGAACAAGCAACTACCATGAAACTTTATTTCACTTTTGAATGTAAATTTAAGCAGCAAGTGTATGTTTTAATTCAGAACTAATACCACTATCTCAACAGGTCTAATTAACACCAGTAATAAAATAGTAAGAAGTAAAATGACTTCACCACTCTAAGCATTGGTGTCATAGATATAAAGAAAACCCAGTTAAACCGATCTTCAGTGTCAGGAACACAGGATGGCTAAAATTGTAGTGATACATAAAATACACATTTATGCCTACATCTCATACCTATCAAAAAACAACAACAAAAGCAGGGTTGAGGCATTGCCTTATCAGTTGCAGGAATGCTGGGCAGTACAATGAATTCTGTTTAGTGAAAATGAACTCAGGCTGACCTTACTGTTTGTATCAATTTTGTATGAGGTCCCTTAATCAAAATGAGTCTGACAGCACTGCTGCTGCACATTTTTTTCTCTGAAAGCCTTTCACCTTTATTACACCTATCCACTCCCCTGTTCCCCAGTGACCATCTAGCTTTCTGTGTGCTAATAGCTTTAGCAGCAGAATGGCTACTTCCCCAAGATTCCTTTACCACAGAAGAGGAAAACCACAGTAAATACTGTATACCAGAAACAAAATAACAAGAAGAAACATCAAAGAGCAACAAAAGATACAATCACTATGCATACTACCCAATTACATAGAGATGTACTAACATTAAGCAAGAATTGTTCAATCATAGGGTACTCGAGGTACAAATATGAAGAGCTATAATTGGAGACTATGAAACCTTCTTTGTGCCATTAGTAACATTTAAAAGTAGTATGTTAAAAATTGACTTAGCTGCTGACAATAACAATTTGTCAATACCTATTATGTATTCAATTGCAATTGAGCAATTTTAATCTAAAAAATAGCGAGACAAGTACAATTGCCTCCTTTAATATATACAGTAGTAATATACAATGTATACTGTATATATACTGTAGCTGTTTATTTCAATATGATTTTTATCATCTAGTTTCTCCTAAATGCTGTATCTCTTGATATACACATATTCTCATTTAACCACACATAAAACATCTCAATTTTAATTCTGCAAAAGTAATTAAAAGTATACATATGTGCTGAAAGTGACAAACACAATATCTTTACTTAAGTTAATTAAGGATGTATCTAACTACTGTACTCTGTGCAGTTTTGATTGAATGCAGAACAACAAGAGCAGCTAATTGGCATCAGCAGAGACAAAGCTGTTCTAATTTCTTTTAAATGTAGATTTCTGGGAATATAATTAAGAGCTCAAACATCCCTTTGCACAAACAGGCACAAGTAAATCAAGAGGATTGCTTTGTATAATTAGGATAGGTGTTCAGACTGTTGTAGCTGTATATGAATTGATGTCTAAGGTTTTTGAACTCTATATTAAAGAAATGGCATAGTTATGTTTTTCCCTTTTTAAAGATTTCTGTCCTAGTGCGGTAATTTCAACATGTGGATTTACTTACCAGTGAGTGATCCCTAACTAAACTCTAATCCTGCCCTTTTCTAGTTGTTCGGATAAACCTGTCAAGTTATTGTAGGATTCCTAGTCCACAGGGTCTGGAATAATGGCAAATGTGAGCCCATAGATACACTGCTTACTTCAAAGCTCACCCATATAACTCATGCATTCCATTTATCATCCACAGCACAGAGCTGTTCATTGCTTCAAGCTTCTTTCTACCACTTAACTACAGTATCTGAACTTTAGAAACCAGCAACTCCCTGCACTGGTATCCTAGTTTGTTTGCCTTGAGGTAGGGCAATCCATTAGTCATGGACTTTCAGAGATATCCCCCTACAAAAATCAATTTAGGTTCAATGTTTTTTTTTTATGTCCCCTGAGTACTGAATACTAAGGGACCCAGTCAGCTCTAAAGAAACAAATATGCCTCAGTGTGCTATGCATCCCCTTCTTGTTCTCAGCTGTTCTTATCCTCCAACATTCACACTGAAAATAACTTTAAACTAAAAAAGGAGAGCAAAGTTTGATTGAATCACAAACTTCTATCTATTAATTTGCCTTCTAAATCTGTTGAGAATGTCTTCTTAGTAAAATGTCTCACAACTCAGTTCCTCATAGAAGTTGGAGAATTAAAACATGTTTTGGCCATTTATACAGGAAATAAAAATGCATTCATCTCAACAGGAGAAGAATGTATTACTAATGCAATCTTCCTCTGTTGTCCTCAAGGTTTCTCTTTAAAAATGCATACAGTATATACAATATGTAATACTAGTAAGCTTGCTTAGTTGTTTCTCAAATAAAAATCAGAATCTCGATTTGTGTTAGCACATTAATAAAAAGTCAATGTTTTGGGAAGAGTGTAATACCTTCTCTACATCCACTGCTGGGAGAGAGTGGAAAGCAATTTGAATTTGCCTCTGTTGGTTTCTATGAACCCTGGCGCTATAACAAGGCAATTTATTTTGTGGCTCTGATGCTTTGCATTTGTATTACCAATGGAGAGAAATTGTTGTAGCCCTTTTTCACTTGGGAAAGAGTACAAATAAATGAGGGCTCTGGTTGTTCTGATCAGCACAATGTTTTTGTTTTGTAAAAAAAAAGCGGTTGCACTTTAGTCATCTTAAGAAAAATACTTTTTGTTACCAAAACAATATTATTTCACTAGGAATAACAATACCCAAGAATAAAGTGTCCTGAAGGGATTATAGAGTTTTCAGTGAATATTTGCCTTAAGCTGCTTGGCTGAGGGCTAACCTGCTGGCCACAGGACAAGGAGGCCAGGACCCCATGCAGGGTGAGGAGTGACCAAGGGGCTGCTGCAAAGGTGGAGAGGTGGGATGCAAAAGACAAACACGAGGGACAAAAGGCACGATGGTATGGCGTATAACATTGGTGCTTCACATCTCTTGGATTCGGGGTAGAAGCCTGGCTTTAGAGACATTATGTGTGGAGTTTGCATGCTCTTCCTACAGTCAGGTGCACTGGTTACTTTCCCTGCTTCAAACCAAGCTATGTTAATTAGCATCTATAAGAATGTGTGCCTTACATGTTTTTTTCCTGTCTGTGAATAAATGCTACCTTGCATCATTGTATCCTTTTGTTAGGCTTCAGCTTACCATATCTCAGTTTTGGACTAAGCAATTGTTGAAAAAGGATTCATTAAAAAAAAGAATAGCAAGAAATCAATTTTGTAAACTATGTACAGCATGAATTATCTGACCTCTCCTTAGTAAAAACGTGTAAACACATCTTTTGGATAAATAAAAATCTGAGAATAAAAATATGAAAGGAAGTTACATAATGAAACATGAGGGACTAACAATTTATAACAATTCAATATTCCACATCTGTGACTATTCACACATTTCTTTAGAAAAGAAACATTTATGACAAACATGTCAATATTCTACAACAGTGTGTCTTAAAATGTCCTTTTTTTCTTTGTCTAAACATGCATTCAAAGATCTATTGCAGCGCTTTAAATTGTCTAAATTGTAACAAATTTACACAATTATTTACACTTAATGGTGATGATGATTGTTGTTTAGATAGGGGCAGTAAACTATTATGAGCAGTCCTAAGTTGTTGCCTAAGCTGATTTTAACATTTACATTTAATTTGTCAAATTCAAAAGCATGTTTTTACTATTTTTGTTTAAAAATGATGCTACACCATAACATTCATTTCTGACTCACTCTGCTAAGAAAGCGAGCAAAAAAGAAACAGCATTCTGGCTGTTGCTTTAAGGGCATGTTTTCAGAACAGGCACATTACAGGAAATGTAAGCGTTTAACAGAATGTCACTCACAAGGTTATTACTTCTTTCAGATGCTTGCTTTGCATTTACACGCTGCTGACCAAGCTAAGCTACACAATCTCTTAAAATTTTCCCTACCCTTTATTTCTGGGCAGGCTGTGTCTGGGGGTCCATTTTATTGTGCAAGTGAAAAAAAATCTGCATCCCTAATGTAAATTTGTCACATTATGGTCTCCATAATAAGTTTGTCTTCTCTTGACTTCATTATGGACCTTGTGTGCTTCAGTGGGAGTAATATAAACAGGCTCCACAGGTTAGATGCAATTTTCTTACAAGTAAGCTCAATATAAAAATTGAAAGAATAAATCTTACATTTAACATAACAGCATATTATGGCACTTATTAATGAATACAAAGATGACACCTTGTAGGCAGGTCTTAAAAGCCAAGCAAGGTTAGTACTGGATTGGACGACCTTTAGGGAAAATCAGGTTGTTGTAAGTAGTGTAGGTGGACCAGTAGGTGGTGCTCCTCCTTCTGTAATTTCCAAACCAATGCCCCAGTTTGATGAGAAGGGAAGCAGCACTGTTGGAAGTGTAGTCTTTTAGATTAGATGTTGAAACAAGTTTCTGGCTGCCGGCTCATTACAGGCACTGTTCAATACTGCTGTCCTGGCTGAATTCCACTTTGGGCTTCTACAGTCAGGTCTCTTTAAATGTCCTCTTAACTCATTTCTCCTGATTTTGATCTGCAGAGTAGTTGGGATTGTCAGTGCAGAATGACTGCCATGCTTCACCCAGCTGGGTGCTGCACTTCAGTGGATGCAAATGCAACAGGTGCTATTGATACATTCTTCTTAACGTTATTATTCAAAAAGGGAGACAGTAACAGGTTCTCCTCTCTTAGGCAGAAGAAAAAAGGGCTGTAAAGCACTTGAAGGAGAAATACACAGCCATGAAAAAGTCATCATGCATATTTAAAACCAGCATCGTTTACAAACAAAGATCTACTGTAAGCTTTCACACATTTTAAGTTACTGGGTATCAGAGGTGAGCTGATTGCAAATTCAGGTCACAGAATTCCTTGACCGTGGCTTATCAGGCAAAGACCAGAATCTCTATTTGCCAGCGTAGTTGAAACAAAGTGAAATACATTTTAGTTGATGTACTGTACGAACTCAAAGTTAAAGTGACATACACTAGAATTGTTTTTCTTTCTATAAAGCAGTAAATTGAAAGTTATCGGTACATACCTGTATTGTGGAGCAGGGTTCCCCTTGGCCTCGCAGGTCAAGGTTGCCTCCTGTTCTGGTAAATCAATAGGGAGAATGAGGTTGCTTGGTTCATTCACCCAGCTTGGTCCATTGAATACTCTGTCTTCTGTACAGAACAAAAACATACAAAACAAAATTGTTTGCATGCAGTGCTGTGTCAGATAACGCTCAATGTTTTTAACATACTGTATGTACTAACTTAAAAGAGACTACGTATCGAGACAGGTAATTCTGGCTAAGCTGCAATTTATATCAGGATTACACAGATAATGTTTTTTAGCACACAAATATGCATGTTAAAAGACTGGTTGGATTGGAATTAACATGAATAACCAGCATTTTTCAGCATAAAATGATCTCCGTGGGTCTCCTTTTACATAGTCCATTATGTCCTTCATTAGTGCATGAACATTGAAAGCATGTTTACCTGCCTTGAAGTAAAGGGCATCCATCTGGCTTTAGAGACAAGCCACTCTTTTTTTTCTTTGAGAAATATGTCTATCTCCTTTTGTGTAGACGCTTAAGAACATTAACCAGAATCACATCTGGAACAACTGATAATGAAATCAAGCATGACACCAGGGAGGTGTTTTTTTGCAGGAACAGAAACCACAATGCAATGTTTCAATGAAACTGAAAATAACTTAATTTAGATTCAACAAGATCCATATATTTTCTTATATGTTCCAATAACAATGCAACAGGAAACAGAATAGGTAGACAGTGATTGGATGAAGAGTTCATTAAAATGTATGCATTATAAGATGTATAAACAGTATACTGTATACTTTCAGATAATTAAAAAATGAAGACGTATGATACAGTTTTTGCTAGGAAAAATGTCAAGTGATTTTCACAATATCAATATACACAGAGTTTAAGAAATGCTTTGTTGTAGAGCCCACAGGCTTCCATTGCAGTATTTCAAACTTCTTCCAAGTAAGCTTTTCATAATATGATATTACAGAATAGTAGAGAAACAAAAACAGATATACTTATAAATGTATATGAGATATACTATGAGTATCATGTGGTCATGTACTGCACAGTATACTGTATACAGTATACTGTATGATATATACGGCTTCTGCTATGAGTCTTTAATGCAGATATTATACTTACAGTATAATGCAGAATGCTGAAATTATTAAGTAAATTCATGTTTGAAAAAAAGTTTTGATAAAAGGAAATTTAACAAGTTGCATAGTATTTGCAGAAAAAGAAATCACATTTTGGTGTCAAAAAATAAAAATAAATCAGTTGAAATTGCTTTTGATTTTTCTGGGCAAATGTTAGCTGTTTCCGAATTTGTAGAAACTTCACTTCACAATGCAAGTTATTTTCATACTGACTGAACCCTTCAACTGAATCTTATACAACACAGAGAAATATTACTGTGACATCACCTAATATCCTTGCTTCTTGTGTCCCTGTTTTTCACAAGTGGGATTACATTTTACATTAAAACATTGTGTGTGAAGTGAATTATATGTGAGGAAAATATAATTATACAAATTACTTTTAAGGCCTGGTCATATAATGATGCATCATGAATGTACTCTAAGCACATCTTTCCCAAAACAGTGGAGATGAAGTGCTTTCCTGCTCAATTACCCCCTTTTATATAAATACTGCATATATAAATGACCGATAAATCACTCAGCACTTCAAAAACCCGAGGGTATGCAGAAAATAATGTGCAAAGCACTAAAGGTCACAAGGAGTTTGGTTTCAATAAAATCAGTTAGCACCTTGAACGTGGACTGTACTGTAAATGACCAGGTATTCATATCCCTCTAGAACTGGAGCACTGGAGGAGACAATTAGAATGTCATGCAGTCAATATAACTGGGACTATGAAGTAACTGAGCTTTATTCTCTTCATCAGAAAGTCAATGCTAGTATACTCCAAAAAGCAATTTGCTTTATATAAACATAAAATTTGCGCATATACTCTAAAAACAGCACCTGATCATCATCGTCATCATCATCATCACCATTACAGTATGTGCTCTGATGTGTGAAAGAGACAGATTCCTGCTAGAACATACATGTATTATATTATTGATCTGGAATGAGCTTATGATACAGTAAAGGTCATTAAAAAATACAAATTCCATATTTTTTCAATACAGAACTTTGTTTTCATGTGCACTGTATACTCTGATTTATCAGGTACTTTTTCTTTGTATATAAACACATCACGCAGACCTAATTTTAATTTAAAAAATCATCTGCATTTTCATGCTATACTGTACATTTCATTATAGTATGTCCATTCAGTACAAAATCATAGGACAACATGCACTGCAAATCCATTAGGATTTTAAATTACAGCAAATAAAAACAAAATAATTCAATAGGTTAAAAGGTTCATTCTTTGCAAAGTATATGAAAGAATGCAGCATAAATTCCCTTTCCTCTAAAGCAAAGGGAAAAATTAATTATTATTGTTAAAAAGCGTTAAGCATTTGTATACTTGAGTCGTAGAAGGTCATTGTTTGCATAAAATACAAGCACTGAATACTAAGATTTTGTGCAGTAATGGGCTGACAGGTACGACTTTGCACACCGAGAAAAAAAAATATTTCCCCATTAAAATTACTAGGTGTATTTTCTACATTATGTTGCCTGGGTATCCAATATCTAGATTTAAAATATACCTCCAAGAGTGCAGGAAAGTTTTAAGGAAATTGTATTTCTTTTGTTAGACTACAGTTTATCAGTTTTGGCCTCATTACCTGACAATGGCAGGTAATCATCATCATGTTACAACTCATGGACACCCTCCACCAGACCTATCACTCACGCTTTCTATTCGATCATTATTTGATGTAAGATTTCTGTTCTCATTCCAACATCTCTGGAATGGGAATTCCAGTAAGATAAACACTGAATGTACCCTATGCTCTCTTCAGTTCCAAACACCAAGTAGAAAACTTCAATTAATTCTTACACCTATTATGCATGACCTGCTTCTGTTTGAGCACATTAATTATTACCATTTATGTTTTGATGCTCAGTGTTGTCACTATTCTTCATTAGAAATAAGTTGCTGTTATATCTCACCTACGATAAGACAAATGAGTAGTTTATTTTTTTTCCTCACAAGTTCTTTGATTAAAAACACTAAATTGCTTCACGTTGTGACCACAGACTTTCTCAAGGTGAAACAGAACAGTTATGTCCCCTAAGAGAGCATAACGTTCCTAAGACAACATCAGTAAGAAATGCACTTAAAAAGGCAAAACCCAGTGGAAAATATTTAAGGTATGACAATATGTTTGACAAAACCGCACTTACACATCTGCATTTATTTGTCAGACCCATTGTTCTAAATCCAAACTAATAATTTCCCTTTAAATCAAAGTCGAATAATTGACTGGAGTGAATGTCATTCGTTACAGATAGTATATCATTCTCAGAAAACTGTGACGAGAGAGAGACAAAAAAGAGAAAGATTTCAGTATATTTCTCAGACAATTTTATAGTAGAGAAATGTTAAATATTCAGTGTCTTAGAACAGCTCAATTGCATATGTACTGTAGAAGCCTTTCATTAGTTACAGCTTCGACCATATCAATAAGTTATGTATTATAACTTTTATCTACCTTCAATCTTCATCTGAATTAATGCTGCTGTTGACATTGATTATATGTTTAGAAATTGACCGAGAGAAAAAAAAAACAAAGAAATGACTATGGCTATTAACAATGGCACCCCAGTCCTCATTTACAGGAAAAAAATATTGTATACAACTTAAGGGCACAAAATACTTTCCTGTCTTTACAGCTTTCTTTCTCAGGCAAAGCAAAAGTTATTTTTATTATTACTTTATGCCCTTTGTGCTTATAGGTAATGATAGATACCTTCTGCAGCACTTGAGTGTACTTTGAAGTAGTGTCAAATTATACCTTTAGATCTAATAAGAATGGTGTTCAGCAGCTACATGATTTATAACATCCTTAGGTCAAAAGGCCTTTGATTGCAGCACTCCCTTTTCCACTAACTCATTCTCTTCATCTTTAAGCTACAAATGTTTAGCATATAAGTTGGAAGCTGTTTGCTCTTGAATGCTAAAATCTTTTTTTTAACAATTTTCTACACCCTCGTGGAAAATTTCAGTTTTCTGTCTGTGTGCAGGTCTGAAAGATTCACTACTTTAAATATTATAATTGATTTATTGATTCCGTGGGATTTATTTTGACAGTTTTGTAAAAAGTGATCTGAAAAATGTGTATCTTAGAGTTAATGTACTATGTAATTGTTTGACATAATTGCATACTAAATGTTATTTCAAAACCTATCTATTTTATATGGATGGATAGGCCTTTCTATCATTGATCTAACATTTCTCAATTTTGATGTTGTAATTGAGGAATTAATTGAAAGGGATCACGTTTGTAAACATATAATCTGAAAAATGTGATTGTGAAATGAAATGAATCACATAAGCTGTTTGACAACTAAATAACTTACTTTTATATACGTTAATTAAAAACAAAGGTTAGTTTCAAACTTATCAGTAAACTCATCAGATTATTTGTCAATATTAACATTGAAATTTTGTTTTTAATTTGTAGCTCTTTACCTTTATCTTTATCTGGCATGAATTTTTACTTTAAGATCTTCTGCTAAAATAGCATGGTTTAACTATGGGACAGTATGAAAAAATGTAATTGTCTGAAATAGTGATCCATGGCGAAAGGAATAATACACATAAAATTAAATCTTTACATATCATGTTGGACCTTTAAAATACCATAACACTTTAAAAGGTCATGGTTAATGGAATAAAATGAACATTTCAGTTTTCTCTGTTTTAGAAATATTGTGAAATTTTACGCTGGCCCAGAAGGGTAATCAAACTCCATAAAGTCTCAGTTAATGGCTAAAATAAGCACTAATGACAAGGGCACTTTGTTTGTTCTTCTCAGTTATGATTTTAACATAATCATACAGTAATTACTGTACAATGCATTACATATTTCTGAAAAATGTGTAGAAGGAAATTAATGCATATAACATTAACAAAGGATCTCAATTTCAGTTAAACAACTGGCATTTATAAATTCAGTCCTATCAGTGACTGGCCAAATCATTGTCACTTGTGAAACTGTTCTATTTAACTTCAATAAGATTCTTTCAGCTAATGTGATTGGATTATGGATCAGTCATCCATATTGAACTAAACAACTATCCGGTTTCAAACTTGCAAAACATATCCAACATAGTAAAACAAAATGCAAGAAATAAGAAATTAATTTAAACCTGTACAATTAAACATCAGAATAAGTGTGCATTGTATGTTTTTGAAAATAATGACTTCCTTGTGCTGGTCATTTGGAAATTGCATTATACTCTTAAAATAAAATAATATTGCAAAGGAATCATTTTTAAATAAAAAGAAGTAGTAAGACATTTTACCTGCAAGGCAGCCAATGATTGATAGCAGGAAAAGTCGTTTCCATAGTAACATCATCTTCAGTTGCCAAGGGCAAAGAAGACTCTCATCCAATCGCTTGTGAATAGAACACTTTTCCCTTGAATGCAAGACCCTTAATCTGAAAAAAAGTAATTATAGAAAAAATTAATAGTAAGCCATCTAGTGCCAGATACACTAAGCATTTACTCTTGCAAACTTTGAATTATTATTTATCTTTATTTAACCCATTTTCATGTAATAAAAGGTGTTTAAAAAGGCAATGTGTGAGAGAGATAAAAAAGGAAATGACCCACTTTCACAACAGAAACTATATCAACAAGTTAACACTAACACAAAAAAATATATTTTAGAATTCCAATACACTGTTGTGCTGTAAATAGGCCGCTTTCCTGAATTAATTTTCTCTCAGTTGCTATTTTTGCTATTTTTGCCTGCGCATGAGTAGCAGGTGGCCACATGTTTTCCATCCCATTGTCATTTGGAATGTGATTTGCATTTACATATGAAGGAAAGGCCTTTAATAGATGAGAAGTGAACTAAAATGCAATACTAAATACACCTAACAGCAAAGGTTATGTTAATCTGGCAGTTATCCTGTATACAAAATTGTTATGTTTTGTCTTTCATTCCAAACAAAATGCATCCATAGAAGCTACCAATTTGTGAGAAATTATATGTATATTCTTCCATTTCATTATATGAATAATGAATGATAATCATGTATTTTTCTGTTTTAGGATGTTTTGAGATGTACAAGTATTTATTTTATACATAAAAAAACTAAAAATATATTACTAATACAGAAAGGATGTGGAACAGGCACACAATCCTCTGAATGGGATGTGAATTTGCTACCGCCTTCCTATTTCTGCTGTTAGTCCCACTGTGTAGTGTTAGCTACTATATGATTGGAGGAGCTGCTCTCACTGAAATTCCACTTGCTGGGAAGTTTTGCAAGCCTTAATTTTTTTCCCATTTTAAATTCTGTCAAGTAACAGCCTGCCAGGTTTCAAGATATCACCTTAAATAAAAAAAAAAATAAACAGAGCAAAGGTCAAAAGAAGCCTGTTAGGAGAAATCTTCTGTCAGTGAAAACTATCATCACTATAACCAACCAAAAGTAAGCAAAGTCAGAAAAGATGGCAACATTAAAACTGATTAAAAGATTAATAAAAATGTAATACCATATTTTACAATAACACAATGCCAGAAAGAAATTGCATTGATTTATACATAACATGCCAACCTGAAGAACATGAACAGCAAGAAAACCAAATGGTATTGATATGGACACCAATAGCAACTGTTCTAAGCCTCTTGAATAGACCCGGTTGCGAAAATAAAAGAGAGTATAAACTAGAACACTAATTTTCTATTCACATTTGCCAGCAACTTGTTATGGTACTGACATCCAACCACCGGAGGGCGCACACACCCTTATGCCTTGCTTCACCTATTCTGGTATGGCGTGGGTTAACCAGGTCCCTTTAACCCATGACCACACCTCCCTCCCTCTCTATTTAAGCCCAGCCATCTGCATCCACCTTTGCTCAGTATTGGGTTGTACCTCTTGGTATACACTTCAGAGCCTTCTTTTGTGATTCAGTCTGTCTCCTGTTTTTTTGGACTTCTGCACTGCCTACTTGTACTTGCCTTTTGGGTTTTGACTGTGGTCTTGATGAATTGAGTGCTTTCCTGGTTTTTGGACACCATGTTATTCCTTTGAGTACGATTCCTGATAACCACTTTACGACTTCCCGGTCTTCGTCACACTCACATACAGTATACCCTCTGAAATCAGCATAACACAGCTCTATCACCCTGCAGCTCACAACTAACAACCCACTTAATATAAGTAGGTGTGAGTAGGTGTGAGCCTGGTCTGCACCTGGATGGGAGACCTCCTGGGAAAGCTAATGTTGCTGCAGGAAGAGATGTTAGTAGGGCCATTATAGGGCACTCACCCCACAATCTGTGCCCCAGTATAGAGACAGGGACATAACACAGATGACCTGATTCTCTGTGGTCTTCCCAGGGCATTTCTCGGAAAGAGTATCGGTGTTATCCTTCGTCCTTGCCAAAGTTCTCATTGTTCTTTATCAATTGGCTTCCTAATAATCCCGGTCTATGAATTGGTTTCATCACTCTGTTCGCCTCCTCACTGATAGTTGATACAGTACAGTATGTGGTGAGCGTTCTGGCTCACTATGGCTGCCGCCGCATCATCCAGGTGGATGCTGCACATTGGTGGCGGTTGAGTGTAGTCCCGATTATCTGTAAAGCACTTTGAGAGGAGTGTCCATAAAAGCGTTAGAGTATATAAGTGTAAGGAATTATTATTAATTATATAATTATTTGCAGTCTTGTTAACTGTCAAAAATGCTAATTCTGTAAACAATGTCTCTTCTGAACATGTACAGTATGGGAAGTGTAAAAATTGCTCAAATACAGTATGTATATCATATCAAAAATACTTCTGTATATCATATTAAAAATAGATTATGACAAAGTACATCTTTTTAAAATCAGCAACACAGAAGAAAAGTAAATGCACAGAAATCAATGACTAATGAACAGGGATACAAAATGAATATTCTTGTTACTGCATTTAGGTTGACAGACAGTTCTTTTAAAAGGGCTTAGTAAAGTAGCATTTGGGGACAATGACTTACCACCCCCTCATTCATTTATAGGAGATCATGCATGATATTCGGGTTATGTACCAGTGAATGGATTGTGGTTTGAGCTCTGGTCTTGTAACTTTTTTGCAGTTTCACATCATAGATGGAACACATGCTGTCGTATTCTTGCACAAAGCAATGCCATGACTCATTGATGTGAAATGCCCTGCTTTTTAAATACAATAGATGTAAATGTAATTCTGTTGGATAATAAAGGGTCCTGGGTTTGGAGTTAATATATTTTCGCTAAGTAGTCTCCACCACCTAAAAACTTGCAGGTTAAGACGGATTGACTTCTTTACCTTCTTTACCAAGGGGATTTCATACTTTGGGAATATGTACTGTAGCCTGTACAGTATTGGATATGCAACAATGGAGAAACAGAATCAGATGTGCTCAATGGACCAAAAGATCTCTCGTCTGAAGACTCTCTGAAGTTCTAATAATTTTGGTCAAATAGTTAAGTAACCAAAGTATATTTTGTTTATCATTTTGTTAATGTTATTCTTGTTTCAGGAATTAAAAGCATTCTCATGTCTTCAAATAACTTGAAGTAATAATAACTTATATTTTAGTTCATGATCGTGATGATTGAGTTTTAAGGGTGAAACAGCACTCAATAACAACATGCAGGAATAATGTATGCAGCTGAATACATTATTCCTTTTAGAACTCTAATGTGTCTAATCTGTTTTTCTTTAACCAAACACCGAGTTTATTCATTTTATGGATGCACTTTGTTGATATGTCTGTGGTTTTCACTAGATCAAGAGCTGAATGTTTTTTAATTTTTCATTTTTTCAAGTGACAATTACTTAGAGCAGTGACATGACCATGGGTTTCAAAACACATACATTGTAGATTAATTATCAGGGTGGGAATATTAATTAGGCCTCAGTGTTTCTCAACACAACAGTAGACAGCAGAACAACCTTAACAGATTATTAATTAAACTTCACTTATACAGTATAAAGCCAAAGACAGCAGTCACGAACAGCTGTTTCATCAGTGTGGTATAAAAATCTTTGACCAGTGAAACTGGTTCATATACAGTACTGTATGCATCTAACAAGGTCCTTTCAGGATTATGGTGTGTATCTTTCATTGACTTAATGTTGCATATACTGTAGTTCTTTAGCTTTAAATATGTTATGCCATGCCCACCCAAATTATATATTTCATTTTGTAATGAAATTTATTATTATTGTAGCTGTTTTTTTTTAAAATGATTTTTATCATTAGGTTTAAAATGCCAATAAAATGCTGGCTTCTACGTAGGTTTTATTTCAGTATTTTAGCTAGGATTGTCTTCACTGGGATTTGTTTTTACACCTCTTTCATAAATTAATTTTATTAATACAGAAGAAGCATTTATTCTTTTTAGGATGGGTGTTTGTCATTATAATGCTCGTTTTTTCCAAACATGATAATTGAGATTGTTATGTTCTTGCATCTTCATATTTTCTAAGCTTGAACTTTAGCTTTTTTTGGTAAGGGAGAATGAGCCATTAGCTGCTATTTAGCATTTGTTGCTCCTCAGGCATAAAACTTCGGAAGGGGTGAAGGATTTCGCTCAGCACAGTGATGTCAAATAATCTTTTCATATATTTGCTTAGATGAAATTGGATGAAAGTTTTATCCAGTTCACATGTCATGTTTATAGGTCTCCAAGTGACAGCTTTAATGTTCCTTAAGTTGAGAATTGATGAAAGACAGAAAGAATTCTGTAGAAAGAACCTATTAAATGCCATTGAAATTACAGTTTTGCCCTAGAAGTGGCAAAGAATACTTATGTGAGAATGTGAAAAGATTAGCGTTATATTTTTGTTAGGAAATAATTTCTAACAATGGCTGTACTAACCCATAAATGTCAGTGACCCAGATTTAGTGCCTAGAGGCATTTTTGGAGTCTATTAATTTTGACCACAATGTCAGTATTTGCAGGGATTTTACACATAAGACAAAAAAAGAGTTGCAGATACTGTATATCAGGTGATATAAGCAAAATAAAAAAGCCATCTCTATGGAATTGACCATAGTCACACAATATCCACCTACTATGACACCACTTCTGAAAATTGATTTATTTTTACTGAATATGTTAAATAGACAATAAATAAAAAATGTAACATGATGTATGTCCTCCATTCTTATTTCTGTTGTGCAGCAAACTCTAACTTATAGTGCAGCACCATCTGACTCATTCAGTTAAGTGTTGTGGGTGTGCTCTTTAACCCTTGATCAAAGAGCTAACAAAGATTCCAACTCCACCATGTTTGCTTTCAATTTTAATTGCTTTATTAAAACAATTCCCTTTCACGTCACACTGTGTAGACTAATAGTTATGCTTCAGAAGGTTAAAAAAATGAGTTTTATGTTTTTTACAGTGAGGGAAATGGATTGCAGAAAGTAAACCATACTGTATGTTGACTAACAA